CTGGGCTTTTCCAACTGACCGATGGGCCGTCCCGGAAAAGTAGGCGACTTGCCGCAACTGTTTTTCCAATGCTTCATCGACTGGATAAATCCACTCTGAGCTGCAATTGACATAAATGCACTTCACGATAAAAGAATCATGATTCTAGAAAATACCGAAAGTCATCGCTCTGGGCAGTGGTCACGACGGTTCCCTTATCAGTAGACCTGATAAAATACAGAACATGGGGACTTCGTGACGCATTTGCGAATCACTTAGCGTTCTCACGTCTTCAGCAACAAAATCTCCTGCTTTTCAAGTTGAAGTAAAGCTTCTGTGAACGTTGATCGCAGAGAACCAACTTTACGATTCATATAATTACATAGAAACTTCGTTTTGCTTGTATATGAGAAAGTGTTTTTTTAATCAAAAAGAAAAAAGAACTAACAGGCGTTCATCGTATCGTAACGACGGTGTGGTCTCTGTGTGGCGGGCTGAGTGCAGGCCACTTTCTTGCACCTGTATGGAGTTTCATCAGTTTGTATAATGTTTGGAAGGATAAAAAGTGTTTTGAAGGAAAGCAATATTTTGAATACTAGATTAGAACTGCTCTCAAAATATTTAAATTGGACGTGAAATTAGACTAAAAAGAGAATAGAAATGAACTAGATGCATCAAAGGCGAGAAAAAAATGTGATGGTGGAAAAAAAATAATAACAGACTAAAATAAGATCGCTAAAACTTAGTCTTAGCATTCAACTGCTCCTCAGCTTTATATTTGTTGTAATCACAGCCTGGCTCGTAATCGAGCCGGCAAGCACTCGCCACATGATCTGCGCATGTAAGGCAGGATAGACCAGTGAGACGACAAAGTTCCATTAGTCTGGCACAAGCCCTGCCGGAGGAGAAGTCGTGGGCTGGGCTGCGGCGTAACTGAATCGACGGCGGCCGTGTTTTATGTTTTGGTGGGCTGATTTAGTATGTGGGGCTACTGAGCTCCGAGGATTGTATGAACGTTCTGTAGCGTTATGTGTTTTTATGCGTTTTTGCTGTGCAGCGCTATAGCAGCGCTATAGCGTGCTACAGCCAGCAAAAACGCATATTGTCGAGAGGCTGTCTGTGTGTGTGTGTGTTCGCAATGCG